GTTTTTCTGTTCTATGGTTGGTTCGCTTTGCTAAAAAGGTGCTGGTATAATTGGTCTCTAGGTTAAAGATTAGGATGATAAAATGGTGATTGGATAGCATACTGAACAAATGATTATGAAATATGAGGTGGAAGACATGGATTCAAGTGTGGAATTTTTGAAGGTCGCATGATATTTGGGGGCCTAATCCTAGGTGCTTGAAAATGAGGTTGGAAGTAGTCATAAGAAAGATTTAGGTACAGGTTATGACTCAAAATAGTTAGTGATGGTTGGTTGAAGCCATGCGATTTTGGTTTGAAAATCAAACTTTTGAGCTTAGCCATATACTTGGCTAGTTCACCTATTCTTCTCTTGAGTTTGTCCAAACTTCGATCATTGTTTAAATCACCCAATGCCTTAGTTTGTTCTAGAAAAGTGCTAAGACTAACAGGAGCCGATTGATCTTGACTTGATGAAATCGAAAGTGACAATGATCCTTAAGGAGGAATAAACTCAATTCCACCACTACCTTTAACCATTTCTATCAATTGAGCAATTTGTCATTTCATCTCTCGAAGCTCAAGCCATAATTCCTCTTAATTCAACTCCAAAGAACTAATCTTTGCTTCCAATTGATCTCCCATTTTTGCCATTCTAATTTCTACCAAGACAGATATTTTATTTCGGGACTTAGACTAAAAATTCTAGACTGTTACCCTTATTGAATGAATATCACAAAAACAAAGAGACACAAAGTATGTTTATGAATACATGAATATGAGAATGTCACGAAATGCATATATATTTATGACAATGGATTTTTATATGTACAAAGACCTAAATAAAAATTTTCGTCAACCATGAATGTGTATGCAAAAAAAAAATACAATGTTATGTTGCAAGAATGGTGGGATATGAAATGCAATGTATGCCTCATATGTATTCATGAATCTATATGTATGAAATGCGATGACATATTTACATGAATGGTGAGATTTATTCTTATGACTAATGCAACATACTTGTATGAAATGCACGGACTTACTGTATGTATGAGATATGTATGTATGAAATGCAATGCATGTGTTGTGCTGGCTTAATAAAGTAAACACTGCCTTAAGATACGTAACGAGATATAATGCATGCACTACTTATCAAGAAGTGCATGGGATGCATGTGCATGAAGTAAAATATGTGTGTTACCTATTGATATGGATGAGATGGAATGCACGTATTATCCTATTATAATGCGCATGGGATGAGATACATGTATGATGTATGAAATGCGAAAAATGAAATAAAATACGAAATTTTTTATTTTGAGAAAGAAAAAAGAAAGAAATAAGGCTTGAAAATTAGTCTTTATTCGGTCAATAAATAGAGAATTTAAGAAAAATCCATAATCTTTGGAAATGTTCTTTTATCTTTTTTTTGTTTTTTTTTTTCAATGATTGACCTAAAATAAATACCACATATTCAAATATAATGCACACAATAAAAAAAAAAGAAAAATAATAAAATAAAATAAAATAACTCAAGAATTCAAAACAAACAAGTAAGATAAATAATATAATAACCATACGACAAAATAATATAACGTATAATGTCCTAATTTTTGGTAATTTTCTAAAAAGGTGGCATGGCTCTATCCTAGGCAGGTTTCCTATGGCTCACGATATGCTGGGTTAGGATTTATATGTCTAAAGGTTCCCAGACTATTCCTCACATCATCGCCTACTATAGACTAGTAAGGTTCTTCGATCCTCGCCTATTATGGGTTATTAACGAAAAGGGTTCAATCTGAATGGAAGTGTTTTGCTAGCAAATACGAAGGTTATCACCTCACGAGAGCGTAGCTACTTCACTTCCTTCTAAAAAGGATGAAGTTCGGGTATATAGCTCATGCATGCGAATGAATATGCATAGTGTGTGCAAGGTAATGTATTAATCAAAATAACATGAATAAATCATAACCAAAAACAAAATCAAAATAAAGTAATAACTAACACATAATTTATTTTATTTATTAACATGGATGTTTTCAAAAAATAAAATAAAAGAAATTAAATTAAATATCAAATAAAATCAATTAAATCCAACCATTGTCAATAGCGCATAATTAAAATTTTGGCCTGACTCTCAAACAAATCCCCAGTGGAGTCGCCAAGCTGTCATAACGATTTTGAGACCGCCAGACATAAAAGGTATTTTAAAATCAAGAGAAATAAAAGGAGGAGTCATCACCAATCTTTGTTAAGGTGTAATTGGCCACTCAAAAGTTTATCTTTCTAATAAAACTATAAAAAGGGGTTTAAAGTTTATCAAAAAGATAAATTTTGGTCTACGAAAAATCAGGTTGGGTTTGGAGTCGGTTACATGTAGGGAAGGATTAGCACCCCCACAACGCCCATAAATTGGTACCATTTAATTATGCGCTATTTTCGGTGTTGGATAAAAATGGTTTTAATTTGAAATTTAACACTAATTTCCTTCATTCTAAAAAATATTTTTGCTAAAAGTTTTATTTAGAAATATTGAAAAAATCTTTAAGTTAAAGAATTATCTTAAAATTCTCCAACATCTAGGTAGAATTTAAAATAACTCTTTTCGCTTAAGATTTAACACAACAATCCTTAAAATGAAATAACAATCTTTATAGAAGATAAATGTTAATGACTCTCCAACATCTAGACAGAGTACCAAAAATTATTTCCTTCGAAACGTTATTTTTATTTTATTTTATAATATCATAATTCTTTTAAAGTATTATTTATTTTTTAATTATAAAATATTTTATCATCAAATAGTAAATAAAAATTAAAGATAGAATAGTGCAAATAAATACTGATAATAACGTGCTAACGTATGTATGCCAATGAATGTTATGCAAAATAAGATGCAATTTAAAAGTTGGATTCTTAAGTATAATGAAGCCACCTCGACTCACCAACATCTAGGCAGAGCTTAGGTGTGACTGTTTATATTTAAGATCCCAATTTACTGTTATACTTTTTATTTATTAATCTTATTATTAATGCGAACTAAGAAATCGTGTGAAAAGACTTAACGAAATAAAATTTCCTAAATACCCTGTCATCTAGGCGATATTCGAAAACAAATTACTTCAAATGAGATTTTCACACGTGTCCTTAAGATTTACAGGATGTTTGGGTAAGGGCTTGAATAAAGGTTTTAAAGGTTAGAGTTTCAAGATTTTGAAGATTCGAATTTTAAGGGTTTTGATTTAAGTGGTTTTGAATTTTGGAGTTTGGATTTAAAGGTTGAGATTTTAGGGTTTTGGATTTTATGGGGTTTGGATGTAAGGGTTTAAAGGTTTTAAGGTTTCGGATCTTATGGGGTTTGGATTTAAGGGATTTTGAATTTTAGAGTTTTTAGAATCCTAGGGTTTTGGTTTTAAAAAAAAGTTTCGTTTTTAAGAAAATGCGAACTTCTCTAAAAATCTCCAACATCTAGACGGATTTTTGGAGCAAATTTGATTTTAATGATTTTTGAAAATTAATTAAAATTTTCTTATGTATATATTTTTTATGAAATTTTATTAATAATAATTTTCCAACATCTAGGCGGAATTATTTCTTTAAAAAAATATTTTTTATTCCCTCCAACATCTAGCAGGGAAAATAATAATAATAATAATAATTATTATTTTTTTGAACATTTTTAATATATATTTTTAATCGTTTTCATTTTTATTATTATTAAAACAATGAGACATTTATTCTAACAAATTTAAAAATTTATCATGCAAGAATAAATAAAAAAACTTAAAATAACAAAAATAATAATATAAAAAAATTTTAGAAAATTCAAAAAAAAATTTTTTTACCTGAACCGGACCGGTCAACGGTTCGGTTAACGCTGGTCTGGACTAGTCTGATCGGTTCTATGGTTCAGTCAACGATTTAGGCTAACGGTTTACTGTTCGATCCGGTCAAACCGGTTCAATTGGATCGATCAGCAGCTGTTGGAGGAACGGGTCCACGGGTCAGGTTGCACGGATCCCGGGTTGGATCTGGGTCAACGTGCAGATCCTCCTTGACCTAAAACAACGTCGTTTTGCTCCTTAGTCTTTTATATATAACTGAAAAAAATTTTTTGTTCATTCTGTTTTGTTTTAGAAAAAAAAAGACGGGGGAGAGCTCCAGAGCTCTCTCACCGTCCAGTAGCCAGACCGTCGTGCCATCCACTTTTTGGGTCACCGTCGGTGGTCGCTGCCGACGGTCTTTGGTGATCGAAAAATACCAAGCTACTCCCAGAAGCGCTCTTTAATGCACTATTCTTAGATCCGACCTTCTTTTTATCGAAAACATTGATCGAGGCTCAAAGTTTCTGTTTTTCCTTTTTTTTTGTTGTGAACAAAAACTGATATATCTTCCTTTTTGCAGGTAACTTGACGCTGGGTTCCTCCCTATGGGGAGGACTGTGTTTGTCCTTTTTTTGGTTTGTTCTATTTTTTTTGTATTCTGGATTGGGTTTTTGTTTGGTTTTATGATGGGTAGGAAGTTTTGTGGGAGGATAGGACTTTGGGTATTCAAAAGCTTGTTGAAAGGGAGGCTGGGCAGTAATGAAGGGTCCGCTCTTCGTGTGTCCGAGAAAGCTTTCGAAAAGGAAGGGTCCGAGAGAGCCAATGGGAAGAAGTTGGGGGGTTTTAAAGAATTCAAAAGGGGAACAGGTGATGGCTGTAGGGTGGCTGTAGGGTGGTTAACGTGGGCAACTAGTGGTGGCTGCAGGATGGTTGGTGCCAGGCATCAGTCGCCCTGCTTTCTATCGTTTTTTGTTTCTCTTTTTTTTTTTATTTGTTTTTATTAGTTTTTTATAAAATTAATAATTATTTTTAAAATATATTTTTTTTATTATTATTATTATTATTATTATTATTATTAATGGTAGACTCGGATAAAACCGATGTCTACAGTGGTATGGGGTGTTAATGTCTCCAACGACCAACATCTTCCACTGTTTCTCTCTTAAATATAAAAAAAATCGAATTCAATTTTTGAAAGCGTAGATGTTGGATTAAATAATAGTGGGTAAGTTTTTATACTAGTATTTTTTTTCCGAAATTAAATTTTTAAAGTTACGCACATACGTGGGGGGCGAGAAGTGGCTGAGCAATATGAATATGAGAAGTATCAGTCGGAGAGGATTGCTGCCTAGACAAAGACTCTAGTCTATAAAAGGGCACCGGCCAATGCAAATATGCATTGCACTGAAAAATACCTCTTCTTGAAAGCTAGATCTTGCTATAATCAAGAGATATCTTGGAGTGAAATAATGGCGTCATCGGTTCTGGCTGGTAAGCTTGAGACTGATGTAGAGATCAAGGCTTCTCCCCAACAGTTTCATGATATGTTCAGCAACAAACCGCACCATGTTCACCATACTTGCAACGACAAGATACAGGGATGTGATTTACATGAGGGTGATTGGGGGACCGTCGGTTCCATTGTCTGCTGGAGTTATGTGCATGGTATATCATTATAAACCAAAAAATCTTTCACTCTTTTGGCTTGATTTCTTTTCCTTTATTTATCTCAGTGTTATCTGCATCTTTTTCTAATTTTCTTTAACAATGAAAAAAAAATTAATACACATGTACTTGAGAGTAGAAAATTTTCTTTGAAATAACTAAAAATTTGTTTGTTCGGAATGGATAATACATAGATGGAAAGGCTAAAAAAGCAAAGGAGTTAGTTGAAGCGATAGACGCTGAGAAAAACTCCATCACTTTCAGAGTGCTTGAAGGAGATCTGATGAAGGAGTACAAGAGCTTTTCAATCACAATTCAAGCTTCACCCAAGAGCGGTGGTCAGGGAAGTATAGTGCACTGGACTTTGGAATACGAAAAGCTGCACGAAGGCATTTCACATCCAGAGACACTGCTCCAATTTGTAGTTGATGTCTCCAAAGGCATCGACTCTTACCTCACCCAAGCAAATTAATTTGAATCCCATGTTGAATTATGTGCTGTTACTACTGCTACTACTACTACTACTGGTACTGATCTAAGAATAAACTTGACAGCTTTCCTCTCAGTTCTAGTTTGAATATTTGTATATATGTTGGAATCGATCTGCTGTCAAGAGGGGAAACTTTGTATGTTCTCGTATGTTTGTTGTTTTGCGTATCGAATTGAATGTGTTTTGCGCTTCTATTTGTGTGATATATATGTATGATTTCATAATTTCTTATTTTCTTTCTACTTTTTTGTGCTATTTTTGGTTTTTCCCTGGGAGATAGTGTATTTGAGATTCGATGCTCCTTGATGTTTAAACAAAAAATTTAGAACCAAATTAAACTAATCTCCGTCCTAAAATTACTGTCTCTTATTGTTTTTTTTTAATTAAACTAACTTAACTTTTATTATTATTTTTAATAAAATTAAAATTTTAAAAATAAATTTTATAAAATTTGAATTTTAAAATTTAAATTTTAAATTTTCGAACTATATGTTTTAAAATATTAATTTACATAGTATTTTAAAAAATAAAGATCAAAATTAAGTTGCTTTAACTAAAAAAATCAATAAAAAACAAGTATTTTGAAACAGAGAGAACAATATAGAACCCTTGTTATTCTTTTCTTCTTAGTGTCTCTCGTCCGAAACAAAATAAAAAAATATCTTCAAAAATCGAAAATTTCAATAATGTATTATCTTTTTTTTTTATTAGCCTAAGAGTAGAAATAAAATCTCAATTCCACTGTAATTAGTTTGTGGGCTACTTTATGGGCCGTACACATGGACGAATCGTATGTATGCCTTGCGAAAATGATTTTAATAGTTCCTTTATATTGCAATTATTTTCTAATTTATAGTTCTAACTGGATAAGTCCATATTACTTTTAGACAAATTTTATCTTAATTAGAATGTCGGTGTCTATATACAGTTGCATAATGTGATCACGTATAGCTGTTTCTATTGATATTTGTATATTATATTTATATATTATATACAAAAGTGAATAAATTTTAAGCCGAGTTCAATCAAAAGATCAAAATCATATCAGATGTTGAGATTCTAGAGGTACGATGTAATATTTAGTTTGACCGATTGGTGATCATTCTGATACTATTTGTGAAAACTCACACCCAACCTGCGAGGTATTGTCTACTTTGATCCGAAAGTCTCATGATTTTATCATAAAAAATGTGACTTACAAGTTTTGAGTTTAAATCTCAACTTATATATCATATCATATTTACATATTTTTTCAATATAGGATTGAGGATGTTATAATCTCTCTACCTTTAAAGCTTGATATTCATGTCAAGCTGAGTCAACTACAAAACCAAGATCACACCAAACGTTGAGATTTTAAAAGTAGTTCCCCACCGTATAACACTTAGTGACTCCCACAATGTAGCACTTAGTTTTCGCTGACTGATCTCTCCAATACCATATGTGAAGACTTACATCTAACTTGCGAGGTATTATCTATTTTGATATGAAAGTTTTACAATTTTATCTCATAAAAAGTACCTCACAAGTTTTAAGTTTAAGTTTCAATTTATATATCATACAATATCCACACATTCTTTCAATGTGAGATTAGAAGCGTTATAATAAGTTCCAGAAGGTAGTCAGAAGGTTAAAAGGATAGGCATTTGTTTATGTAATACCACGAAGAGGATGGAGAGCTTATATACATATGATCTAGGTGAAGAAACAGGAGACTCTACAACTCGGAATGATGCACAAAGGAGCAGCTAATAAGACAGATTGAAGATGTAGTAAGGCTAAGACTAATAGGAGTGAAGAATATGGCATTGGATCATGTAAATCAAATACTGTATGACAGATGGGAGTTGAGTAAAGATATGTTTGTATAGTACTTATTGGACACTATTGTGATTGCTTGTAGCAATTTTACTGCTTCTTCGATAATAAATACATTACTTTTCCCAAAAAAATTATTCAAATGTACTCCATGTAAAAGTATAAAATTGATTGAATTTTTAGTGTTTAATATATTTTTCAAATCATGTTATTTAATTTTGTAAAGAATTACATTTTTAAGTTTCTAAATACAAGAAAAAAGAAGCAAAATAACAATCAAATAGAGCTTTTTTTGAACCACCACATGAAGAGCTTTTTGTTACGAGTATATGGAAAGTGTATATTAATATACCTGCTAGTTTATTAAAACTATATTTTGAAAAATAAAATAAAATTCATGTTTTTTTTTTTTTCAGAAAAAGAAAGTTACTTGATGGATGAGTAGTTTTGTTTTGTTTTTTTTTAATTAGTGTAAAAAAGTTTGTTTTAGTTTAAAAGATCGCTAGTTTTATATTAGTAAAACAAAAAATGTGTTTTTTTAAGTGAAAAGGCATATACATCTCAACTTTTATAATAGTATTGTAAATTCGTTTTGCTTTAAAAAAATTTATAACCTCATATTAACTTGTAACACCAAACTTACCATTATATATTAATATCAACAGGGTTTTGATTTACCGGTAAAAAAGAGTTTCTAAAATCTTAAGATATTAGATTCAAGTCATAATGTGTGTGTGTGTTTGATTCAATTTTAAGTTAGATTTTTTTAGTTATATTCTAGTGTGGTGATTAATTATTCAGTGATTTTTATATATGAATCATAATAAATTGAATAAGAATAAATATTATTATGTTTGTGACACGTTCGTTTATTCAATAAAAATTTTTTACATTATGATTAAGTTTGATTCATTTACATTAAAATTCAGGTTCAATTTAAGATTAATTCATTTAAATTAAAATAAACTCGTTCATAAATATTAAATAAATATATTTATAAATATTTACATATATATAAACTAATAACTAATGAATTGCCTTTTTTAGACCAATGACTTGGGTTACAGTGAATTGGGCATACCTATTATAAAGAGTTTCTTTCTCTACCTTGGCTTTTCAAACTATGTGGGATAAAAATATTATTAGTAAAAGTCTTTACAACTTGTTTGTTGTCCATTTTAGGTGATTAAAAATTATATTTATAATAATATTTTATAAAACATTATGAAATATTTTTAATATATGTTATATGTACCTTTTAATGTATTAATATTAAATTGTAATTAAAATCTTGTTAAAAATATTTAATCATAAAGTATTCATCTTTTAATAAAAGAAAAAAATAAATAAATATTTATTAAATTTATTCACAAATGTTAAATTAATTTATTCATGAGTATAAACGAATGAAATAAATTATCATTTGTGTTTAGTTTGTTTATTAAATAAATATTAAAATATTATTCAAAATTATCTATTAAATTTAATAAATAATATAAATTAATAAAAATCAAATATTTTTACGAATAATTTATCAAAATTATATTTGTTTACACTCTTATTTTTCTTATATTTGTAATTTCATAAAAAAAAATTATATATTAATAACTGCTTATAATTATTATTATGTCTTATGTCCAAATAAGTAACACGCCAACAATATCTACCAATGATTAAATTAATATGCTCTGAGATCTCAACTACTAGTTTCCTAATGGGACAATTACGCATGTTAATTATTTTGTTGAAAATATCAAAATTTTCTTGTTAATTACCATTATACCCTGAATGGTTGTTCAATCTAATAAACGCAGTTAAGGTTCCATATTATTTATTTTAAAATAAAATATTAAACTTTCGATTTTAATAATTAAAAATATATTTTATAACAACCTTAATTTAAAGGAAAAGTTCAATGTGCAAAATAATTCTCCCGAATTACAACCAATGAAGAGCCATCAATTTCTCTAATTTGAGGAAAAATAGGACGGATGGGGTACAAGAAAGATTTGAAGAAAAATAGGACGGATGGGGTACAAGAAAGATTTTAATATAAAACTACATGTATAGTAGAAATTTTAATATAATCAAATAATCTTTAATATACATCAAGTAAAAGAAAGAAATAATAGATATATTAACAATAAACAAAAAATCAATATAAAATTGGATGAAATGTACAATAAAATTGTTTGAAACTCCTTACCATTAAAATAATTCTAAATCAACAATATTAATTTTTATTATTAAATAAATTTAATATTCTACTGATAAATCAAGTAACGATTTTTTTTACTACTAATATTTATAAAAAAAAAATACAAGTTGATTCAGGTCCACAAAAATATACTTCATTAATTAACACTAACCATATATTGAAATGCTAAGTCACGAAGAATATTTCACAAAGAATCGAAGGAGATCATACAAAGAATTAGGGCGAACTGATAAAATTTATAGGTAATGTGATTAAATTGACATCACTGACAAATTAGAAAAACCGCATCAACACTTCATTGAACGAACTGTTATGCATAAAATGACAATTTCATTGGATTTAAATAAGTAAACAACGTATAAATTAACTCAAAATTTAATTTAATTTATGATATAATTATTTTTAAAGAATGATATTTAACAGATTTGAAATTCAAATTTTAATACTTGTAATATAATTTTTTATATCAAATTTTGACTTATTTTGTAAAAAAATTGGTAAATGAATTGCATATCTTGAGAAAAAACTTAATTAATCGCCAACTCTAGGAGCCTAAAGTAGCAATCAGGTACATCAACTCAATAAGTTCATCAATTACAATTATGAATGAGCTTCCAAGTACCAAGCATAGGTTTGTTATATTCTACTAAGCATATTTGTCCTGATTTCCACAGTACTAATGCTAGTCTATAAAATGGAACACATCAGAATTCATTCTCCATTCTCTTGTAATACATTTGGGTTCAATCACCCATTGGAGTTATGTTCACGGTAAGTCAAACCAACCAGGAAATTACATCTGCATAGCTACCAAGATTATCCTTGTTTCTGCCTATCGTTTTCAGCTTTTTAGTACTCCCTCTTGATACATCTTATTTTATTTGGTTGATTGTTTTTGTCTCTTTCACTTAATAATCTTAAAGCTAAATATTTAATTTGAGATTAAATATTTAAATAGTTATTCAATTTAAAATTAAATATTTTAATTTATACAAATAAAGTTTAAATGTTATTAACTTATAATAATATAAAATTTTTCAACAAAAACTTGGTTGTGAAAAATACACGCTAGTAGGTTTAAAAACCCTTATAGATGAAAATAATATGGAATTAAGGCCTTGTTTGGTTTAAGAAAATATTTTTAATTTTTAATTTTTTTTCTAAAAATTATATTTGGTAAAAGAAAATAAAAATTAATTTTTAAAAATAAAAAATAGGAAATAAATAAATATTCAATAAATTACTACTAATTATATCTAATTATAAATATAATATATA